GGGCTGAGGCCCTCAGGGGGGAGATTGCGGCGATGCAAGAAGAGCTGGCCGAGGCCGAGTCCGCGGTCGAGGACTTCGACAGCCAGCTCGGCAAGCTCGAGGAGTCGAAGGCTCAGACAGTCCAGCAGGCACTCCAGCGGACCATTGAGGTGTGCGGAGGCCAGCGGCCCCTGGAGACCGCTGTCGGGGGCCTCGTCACCCAGGTCAACCAGTTGGGCCAGATGCTCGGCCGTAACTCGGATGGCGTCGCGCCCAGGCTCCTGGAGATCATGGACATCATCACCGCGCAGAGCGCCGCCATCTCGGACATGCTCCACCCCGCTGCGCCTGCTGCCGCTGCCTCGCGCTGGGCCGACGGCCTTGGCGGGGGCGGGCTCGCCGTCGACGACGAGGAAGGCTTCCCCGCCCCTGCCGCTGGGGCCTCTGCCCCCGCGGAGCCGCGGCCGCCAGCGGAGGCCGCAGTTCAGCGGGTGCGGCCAGGCCCGCCCACCCAGCGGGCGAGCCTCGCAGTGGGGCCCTACGGGCCAGCCGCCGCCCGCGGGCAGTCAGGCGCGGCGCTCGGCGCTTGGCCCCAGCCTGGCCAGGCCGAGCACAGGATCCTTGAGGATGCCAAGGACGAGCACGAGGACGGCCAGGCCTTGGCTACCCTGGCTGCTGCTGGGGGCTACGCTCCTATGGGCCCTCGTCGCTCCTAGCCGCTCGGCTGCAGCGACAGCCTGGGGACCCGTGCCGCCGCCGCCGCCGTCAGACTGGCCGACCTTGCACCGGGCGCGAGGAGGGCCACGGCGGCAAGGCGGCCTCGCTCCTGGGCCGAGGTGCGGTCGGGACCGCCGAGGCGCCCCCCCGACGGCCTCGCGCGGGCAGACGGCGGGAGGATTCAGCCCTCCGACGTCGCAGCCGTCTGCCCCGCCCCATGGGTGTCGAGGGGCCTCCGCGGGGTTCACGCCAGCCGCCCTTGAGGCGAGAGTGGGCGGGGCTGTGCCGGCTCGTGAGAGGGCCGCCGCGCAGCTCCGTGCAGGCTTCGACGTGCTGGGCCTCGACGGCGACACATGGGGCCGTGCCATGGAGGTGCTCGAGGCCTACATCGCGCGGGAGGGCGCGCGCCCGCACCTGGTCACGGTTCAGGAGGTCCGCCCTGGGCCCCGCCAGCTGGAGAATGCTCGCCGCCGAGCCCGCGGCTTGGGCTACGCGGCCTTCTTGCATGCTGCTGCGCCCACTGGACAGGCTGCCCTTGCCCATTCAGGTGGCGTCGGAGTGCTTGTCCGTGAGGACCTTCAGGCGCGGGAGGCTCAGTGGCGAGTGCCAGGGGACGTCAAGCACCGCATGATCGCCATCAGGGTGGCCGCTGCCTCGGGCATGAAGCTGCTGGCTTGCTCCTGGTACCTGCAGGATGGCCTCGGGCCCAAAGGTGTCAACTTGGACATCATCGGAGCCCTGGGGGACCTGGTGCTGACCGAGGGGCTGCCTTGGCTCGTGCAAGGCGACTTCAACATGGAGCCTGGGACCCTCCACGAGTTAGGGTGGCCAGCCCTTCAGCGAGGTGCCTACCTTGGGCCAGCCGAGCCCACGTGCATGGCCTCGGGCACGGAGCGGGTGCACGACTGGTTCGCGAGCTCGTTCTGCCTCTCCCACGGGGTCGCCAACGCCGCCGCCCTGGACGGCTACGCGTTGCACCAGCACAAGCCAGTCCGACTGCGGCTGCAGCACCTGCGGCCAGATGCGCTGGTGAAAGTCCTGGTGAGGCCTGGCCGCTTCCCAGACGTGGAGGCCGCCGACTGCAGGGCCCATGAGGACGCCGTCGTGCAGGTGTTTCGGCGCAGCGGGCGAGCTCAGTGGCAGGCCGAGGCTTGCAGCTGGAGCTGGGAGGCAGGCGCGCTGCCCCGCGACCTGCCTGCTGCAGCGTATGAGTGGATGGAGGCGGTCGAGGGCGCGTTGGTGGGCATCCACGACATCCAGCCCGCCGCTTACAGGCGCTTCCTGGGCCGAGCCGCGGGGCCGAGGCGTGCCCTGAAGCCGATGAGCGCGGTTGCGAAGCGAGAGTACCGCTTCCGTCACTCCGAGTTGACCCACGCCATTCGGCAGGCCCTCGACCTGGCTCTGCAGAGGCTGGCCGCCGATCGGAGTGAGAGGTGGCGGCCGTCGCACGAGGGCTGGTACTCGCGCGAGGCGGAGCGCATCACGGGCCCCCTTGGGCTCGCCACGGCTGCGGCCCGCGAGGAGGAGGAGGCGGAGCAGCTCGCCTTCGACACCAGCGGGTGGAGCGACCTCGTCGGCCAGGCAGGAGTCCACGGCCACGTCGGCGCCATCGCGGAGCTCCAGCGACGGCTCTACAGCTCGCAGCGGCGCGACGGAGTTAACAGCTCCGCGCGGTGGCGCGGAGGCCGTCCAGCGAGGAGGCAGGCTGGCGCACCGCTTTGCCAGAGCGGTGCCGCCTCCCCAGGTCGTCGATCCAGACACGGGCATGCCGCTGGCAGGTATGATAGCCATTGGGCAGCTGGGGGCCAACTGGCAAGCCCTCTGGCAGCAGGAAGGCTTCAAGGGAGGAGCCGACGTCGGCACCTGGGACGTCCAGGACTGGACCCTGCCTCCCATCACGCTCGACATGTTCTAGGCGACGTGCCGCCGCTACGCGCCCTCTGCAGGGCTCGGAGCAGACCAGCTACACCCTAGACAGCTGCTGCTCCTACCGCGCGCCCTCCAGCTCCGCTGCCTGGACCTCCTCGCGGCGTCTGAGGAGCGGCCGCAGGCGCTGGGGGCCTAGAAGGCGGGTTGGATGCACAACCTTCTTGCCTCGGCTGCTCGCCATGCCGGCTTTGAGGCTGGCAGCCTCTTCCTGGACATTGTGAAGTTCTACGAGAATCTTCGGCATGACGTGCTCTGGAGCTGCGCCATCGAGCACAATTTCAATCTTCGGTTATTGAGGGGGCTGTTGGCCTTGCATCAAGCCCCCCGCTTCATCTGTTTCGCGGGCCTGGTCTCCGACGACTTCAGCTCGCAAGGCACCGTCCTCGCGGGCTGTGCGTGCGCTACTACGCTGGCCAAGCTGCCGCTCCTCGGACCCCTTCGTGCCGTGTCTTCAGGAGGCCGCCTGCTCGTCATTGGCAGGAACGTCGTCGACGACGTGGCCCTTCAAGCACTGGGAACTCGACGCCTTGTCGTGGAGCAACTTGGCGGCGCGGGGGCGGAGATGGCGCGGCAGCTCGGGGGCTTGCACCTCCCGCTCAGCGCCAAGAAGTCAGTGTACCTCGCGTCCTGCTCTGGCCTGGCCCAGGAGCTGGGCGAGCACTGGAAGGCGCACGGCATGAAGTTCGAGAGGGCTCACCAAGCCCGCAACTTGGGCACGGATGCGAGCATCACGATGAGAGGAGTCCGCGAAGGGCGAGGGCGGGCGCGGGGCGCGCTTCAGCGTGCGCGGCGCCTGCTATGCTTTCGAGCGGCAGGAGTCGAGGTGGACCTGATCCACAAGGCTGGGCCTACTTCCAGTATGATATGGGGGCGGACGGTTGCTGGCGTGGCCGACGGAGAGTTGCACAGTTGGCGAGTCACCGCGTGCCGCAGCGCTGGGCGGCCCCCCCGCGGCGCGGCCCTCGGCCTCAGGCTGCGGTGTGCGGAGCTCCGCAGGGGCCGCGACCTGGATCCGCTCGTGCTGATCACGGATCGCTCGCTCCAGATGCTGGCAGGGCTTTTACACTCGGGCGAGCTCTCCCTGCCGATGCTCAGGGGCGAGCTCGAGGCTGCAGCTTCGCGGCAGGCGGCAGCAACGGCGCCCTGGGTGCACTGCAACTCCCCCGTGGATGCAGCTGTCCTCACCCTGGGCAGGATCGGCTGGTACTTCAGGTCCGAGCGGTGCCTCATCACGGACGTCGGGGACGTGCTGGACTTGACGCTGTTGGGGCCGCGCGAGCTCGGCATTGAAGCCGGCCTTGGGGCGAGGCGCGCCTCGGATCGACACGAGATGCAGAAGCTGGCCAGCGCCTCTTCTTTGCAGGGTTCTTTCTTTTGGGACGCCTTCAAGGAGCTCATCGGGCCAGGAGGCAAGTTCAGCGAGCGCGAGAGGAACTGGCTGGTCGCCTACCTCACGAACGCGCACTGGCCGCAGGCGAGGCTCCACGGCGCCCGCGAGAGCGGCCACGCCCGCTGCAGATGCTGTGGAGCCGCGCGGGGCACCCTCTGGCACATATTGTTCGAGTGCCCCATGCTTGCGGCCCAGCGGAGGGACTCGGTCTCGCCAGCACTGATGAGGAGCGCTGTGCGGGTCCGCGCCCAGGGAGAGGCAGCAGGGGAGGACTTCGCTCGGCGCTGGCTGCCAGCGCCGCCGCCTCCTCAAGGGCCTCGCACGGACGCCATGAGCGCCTGGTGGATACGCAGGCCTCCCGACGACAAGCTCAATGGCAAGTTGTGTTTGGACGGCTCGGCGGTCGACCCGCAGTTCGGCTCCTTGAGGCGCGCGGGCTGGGCGATTGCTCAATGCGACGACGACGGCAACCTCGTCGCGGGCGTCTACGGGACCGTCAGGAGGGACCTCTGTCCACAGCAGACCGCTCGTGACGGTGAGGACTTCGCAGTCTGGATGATGGTGAACTACGCGGGCCCTGCAGTCGAGGAGGTTAACATCGACTGCCACGGCACGGTCGAGTGCTTACGTAGGGGGCTGGCCTATGCGACGGGCCCCGGCCAAGGCCAACGCCCACCTCTGGAGCAGGAGCCTCGCCGCCTTCGAGCCTGGCAGCTTCAGGGTGAACAAGGTGCCCGCCCACTGTAGCAGGCAGGCGGTGCTCGACGGGCGCCTCACGGAGGCGCAGAGGCGCGGCAACCTGCACGCCGACCGCCTCGCCAAGCTGGGGGCACGGCTGCACGCCGCGGACGCCCAGACCGTGGGCGAGCACCGCGCCTTGGCGGGATTCGTCCAGGAGCTGGCCCGCCGGGTGGCCCAGGCGGCGGTCCTCTGGCAGGACATCGCGGAGAAGGACAGTGACAGCTTCCTCGAGTCCGACGAGAGGCAGCGGGTGAGGTTCGCCGACCAGGAGGAGCGGGCCGAGTTGCCCACTGCAGGCAGGCCGACGGCGCAGCAGCCGCGAGTGGAGAGCGTCCGCTCGGTGGCCAGCGCGGTTGGCCTCTCCATCACCACGGCTGGCATCTGCTACCTTGGCCACTCCCTGTCGCGCGCGTGCTGCGACGTGGGCGAGGAGTCCCAGGAGCTGGTGGCGCGCGGCAAGCGCGGCGCCTACATGGTCCTCGGTGGCCGCTCGGGAGGCCGCCCAAAGCTCAAGGAGCCGCGCATCGGCGAGAGGGCCACTGGGCAGCGCAGCCAGCGCCGCCTCTGGGCTCGAGGGCTACACCCAGGTGGACGACCACGCGGAGGAGACCAGCAGCGCAGGGAGAAAGGGGTTGAAATCCCCGCGCTGAGGCTGCAGGGGCCACTGCCCCCAGCGGCCCAAGAGGCCTTCCTGGCCTGGCTGGGCCTCGAGGGCGAGGAGGCTCCCTCGGCAGCAGGTGGCAGCTCAGCAGCAGCGACGGGAGGAGCAGGCGGCTGCGAGCAGGTGCCAACGACGCGGCCGTCGGCGGCAGCGCAACAGGTGGCGGCGGGCAGCGCCCCGCGGGCCGCCATGCTGGCCGCGCGCGGCCTGGGCGAGCAGGACCTCGCTGAGCGGGTGCTGTCCGCCAACGCCGCCGTGGAGGACCGCCGCGTCCGCCCGCGGCGCGGCCGCGGCCCGCGCCTTGGCGGCGAGAGCTCGGGCGAGTAGGCTGCTCGCCTGGCGTCGCCTTCATGGCCCCGCGAATCGAATCGAATCGACGACGACGACGACGACGACGACGACGACGACGGCGGCGGTGGCGGCGGCGGCGGCGACGGCGACGGCGACGGCGACGGCGACGGCGACGTCGACGGACGAGAATGGCGAGGACGATGGCGATGCCGACGCCGACGACGGCGGTAACGCCGACGACGGCGGTGACGACGACAAAGCAATGTCGGGACTTCACGCGAGGGCCAATATTAATTTACGAGGTTTAATGGCTTCGGTGGCGCGAATATTGTGTAGTTTACGATGGTGCATGGATTCGGGGACGCGAGTAGCATAATTTACCAGGGTGTGTGGCCTCGGGGACGCAAACATTATATGACTTATTACGATGTATGGCTCAGGCGGCACAACTATTGTGCAATTTGCTAGGATTTATGGCCTCGGAGGCGCGAATATTGTAATTTGCACGGGTTTGTGGCCTCGGGGGCGCAAGTATGGTTTGATTTACGCAGGTTTATGGCGCTGGGGACGAGAATATTGTATAACGTTCGAAGGTTTATGCTTTCGGGGGCGCGGGCATTATGTAATTTACAATGGTTTATGGCTTCGGGGACGCGAAACGTGTGTAACGTACAAATGTTTATGGCTTCGGGGACGCGAATATTTTGTTATGTATGAAAGTGTAAGGCTTCGGGGACGCGAATATTGTATAATTTACAGAGGTGTATGGCCTCGGGGGCGCGAATCTGGTTATTGACCAAGGGTTTTGGCTTCGGAGACGCGAGTATCACTTACTTTTACGTGTCCCACGCCCCCGCAGGAATTCAGACAACGCGATCTTGGCGTTGTGCAAAAACTGGTTTGGGGCTCCCCCCCTCGCTTTCAGCAACAGTTGACAGCACGGAAGCAGAAAGCAGGACTGTAACAGTGGAAACTGGAAGTTGCAACTTGAACAGGGAGCTGCAATCCTCATCCTCGCAGCCTGGTGGCCCCGCAAGGGGGCCGGCGGATGTTGGGGTCCATTCTCGGGCCCAGGGGCAACCCAAAAAGGATTTGCGGGACCCAGAGCTGTACCTGGGGATGCGGTCGATAGTTTGCCGTGGCAGCGGATTGAACACCTGATCGGACAAGAACGGGAAGTGCCGATTTTGTCTTGCACATTGGGCTCGGAGGGGGACAAGAAGACAAGGATGATGGCGATGACGAGGTGGCAGATGTCGAGGATGGCAGCGTGGATGACGGGAAGGGCAGCGAGGGGGGCAGAAGGACAACGAGAAGGAAAACAAGCGCGAGGACGAGGAAGAGACGGAGGAGGACGAGTACGAGGAGGAACGAAGCGTAGGAGGAGGAGGAGGAGGAGGAGGAGGAGGAGGAGGAGGAGGAGGAGGAGGAGGAGGAGAATGGAAGAAAACGGACGACGACGACGACGAAGGACGGGAAGGAGCCCGACGAAGAGGACGTCGAAGAAGAGAGAGGTGTCCTCGTGATCTTTTGAGGCTACCCTCTGGGCTGTTGATACCATCTGGGGCTAACGATCTTGGGGCTTGTTGGGGTCTTCTTGGGGGCTTGTGGGGGTCCTCTTTGGGGCTGCTGGGGTCTTCTTGGGCTGTATGAGCATGTCTTCGGGTTCTATAGGGGGCTCTCTCAGGCCAACTTGGCGCCATCGTGGGCTGTCTTGGGCCGTCTTGGGGCCCTCTCGGGCAGTCCCGGGGCCTCCTCGGGCGCTCTTGGGGCCTCTTGGGAGTATATTGGGGCGCTTTGGGTGTCCCCTGGGGGGCCTTCGGGGCGCTGCCCTGGGGCCGTTTTGAGTTTCTCTGGAGGCGATTCCAAGACAATGCTGGTTCGGAGCCCCTTCGAGCGAAACGGACGTTGTCGAAACCTGACCGGGGAAGAACGCGCAGCTCTGTCCACGAAGCTTGTCAGACAACGTCAGGTTGAGAACGTCAAGGAAGCTAAGCAATGTATCGCAGACGACAAACACAGATCCCATCGGATCATTTTGCTGGTCTGCCGCGCTGTGCTGTCGTGTTGGTCTGCCGTGCTGCTGTGGACTGCCGCGCTGGTCTGCCGTTCTGCTGTGGTCTGTCGTGTTGGTCTGCCGTGCTCCCGTGGTCTACCCTACAGTGCTTGTTTGCCGTGCTCCCGTGGTGTGCTGTGATGGTCTCCGGTGCTGCCGTGGATTACTACGTGTACGTGCTGGGTGTGTGCTGGGCGGGCGGGCGCCTATGGTCTGCCGTGCTCCTGTGGTCTGCCATGCTCCCGTGCCGTGCTCTTGTGTGGTCTGCCCTGCTCCCGTGACGTGTTTTGTTGTGCTCCCGCGTGGTCTGCCGTGCTCCTGCGTGGTCTGCCGTACTCCTGTGTGGTCTGCTGTGCTCCTGTCAAATGCCGTGCTCCTGTGGTCTGCCGTGCTCCTGTGGTCTACCGCGCTTCTATAACCTGCCGTGTTCCTGTAGTTAAAGTTAAAGTAAAAGACGGGGCCTTAAAGGCGAAAGAAAAAAGGGCCGAGGGGCCTCCAGGGGCCACCAGCGCCACCCGAGACACGCCCTCCCGAGAGGGGCCGCCTAGGGCCGCCTCTCCCCGCGGGGGCCGCCCTGGGCCTCCACCGCGGACACCAGGGGACGGCTGCCGAACGCATGACAAGCCGACCCCCCGCGCGGCAGCGCAGAACAGAACGAAACTACACTACCTGCGCCAGAGTGAACTCGACTGCATTGCAAATACACAGCGTGCACATTCAAGTACAGGAGGCTTCACTCACGACTCCCAGCAAGGTGCGAGGACAGCACAAGCCAGAAGCGATCACTGACTATCCACCTCAAAGCAATCACCGTGATAAAGAATCACTACGAACTCCCTTCTGCAACAGTAAGCTCTCAGCGCGGGCTTTGACCTCTGCCCTGTCTCCGAGAGTAAGCTCACGCTGCAGAAGCCAATCCTCAGCGCGGCCTTCGGCGAGGTCCAGGAGCGATTCCACTCCCGAAAGCGGCCCGCGAGCCGCAGCAGCTACCGCGGCCACGTCGAACTCATCGAGGAAAGGGAGGTAGCACTCGCCGCAGCGGCGGCCCGCTCGGAGCCAGCGGTGCCCCTCTCCAGCTCCACGGCCGTGCCGCCGCCCAGCACCGCCGTGCCGAAGCGGTCCCGATACCCCAGGACGTGGCTGTCGGGCTCAGGACGGGCGGGGGGTTCAGGGCAGGCCGTGTCCCCATCCGCGCCGCCGTCGACAGGGCCGTCCACAAAGCCGTCATCGAAGCCGTCGTCGCTGCCTGGGCCCGCCAGGCTCTCCAGAAGCAGCGGCGGCCGCGGCGCACTCTCACCTGCAGTACCGCCTTGCACACCATCGAACGCACGACATGGCGCATGGAGGGCGGCCCTGCCGTCCTCCTCCATCGCCGCGCTTGCCTTCCAAACCCCCTCACGGGGAGGGCCAGGCTCTGCCCTGGCGGCAGGGGCAGCCTGCCCGCCGCCGCACGCACCGTCGCTGCAGACCTCCCATACGCCACGGAAGGACGAGGAGGGCCCGCACTGCTCCTGCAGCACCCCGCCGTCGCCGCCCCGCGGAGCGCCGGAGGCCGTCCCAGCAAGGCGCCAGCCCGCGTCGAAGCCCTCCCGGAAGGCCCTCGCCCCTGCCAGTGGGTCAGCGACCAGCCAAACGCCTGGCGGGGGAGGGAGCGCACCGCCGCCTGCCTGGGCGCCCGCCTCCGCCAGGAGCTCCGCTTCAAGATCAGCGACGTGAATGGCATCTGCGCCCACAGCCCGCGGCTCCACCTCCGCTGAGCTCGCCGCTACGGCCGACCTCGGGCATGGGAGGCGCGGCCCGCTCTGCGCCCTCCTCCAGGCGGCCCGCGGAGCGCCAGGCCGCGGGAGGGCCCGCGCGTGGCACCCCACATTGCACTCGAGGATGCGCTCCTCCTCCAGCGGCCCGCCGTACTCCTGGGCGATCCGCACGGGTGCCACCAGCGCCAGGCGGCGCAGGACGCCAGGCTCCGCAGCTCCACGAGCTCGGACGCCTGGCGCTCCACCAGGCGCTCGCGGGAGAGGGCTGCCCAGCGCTGTGCGGCCCGCCGCTCACGCTGAGGCCTCCACAACGCCTCAGACGGCCGCCACGGCCGTCTCCCCGCCGCCATCGCTCCCAAGCCCACCCTCCAGCGGCGCCCTCACGGCCATGCGCGCCCAGCACGGGAGACCGAAGGACGGGCCACGGGAAATGGCTTGAGCCAAAATGGCTACGGACCGTGTCCCTGTCGTCTGCCGTGCTCCTGAGTGGTCTGCCGTGCTGCTGTGGTCTGCCGTGCTCCTGTGCTGCCTGCCGTGCACCTGCGGGGTCTGCCGTGCTCCCGTGGTCTACCGTGCTCCTATGACGTGCAATGTGACCCTGTGAAGTCTGCCGTGCTCCTTTGTGGTCTACCGTGCCCATGCGGTCTGCTGTGGTCCTGTGAAATATGCCGTGCTCCCCGTGCGGTCTGCCGTGCTCCTATGTGCTCCTGTGGCCTGCCGTGTCGTTCTGATCTGCCATGCTCTTGTGTGGTGCGCTCCTATGGTCTGCCGTGGTCCTGTGCTCTGTCGTGCTCCTTTGTGGTTTCCCGTGCTCCTGCGTGGTCTGCCGTGCTCCCGTGGGGTCCGCCGTGCCCCTGTGGGCTCCGCCGTGCTCCTGCGCGGTCTGCCTTGCTCTCGCGTGGCCTGCCGTGCTTCTGTCGCGCGTTTTGGAGTGCTCCTGTGGGCTGCCGTGCTCCTGCGTGGTCGGCGTCCTCCTGCGGTCTGCCGTGCTCCTGTCGTGGGGTCTGCCGTGCTCCTGTTTGGTCTGCCGTGCTCCCGTGTGGTCTCTGCCGTGCTCCCGCGTGGTCTGCCGTGTCCCTGTGTCGTTTGCCGTGCTCCTCAGTGGTCTGCCGCGCTCCGCGAGGGCCAGGGGAGGGCCACGCCCCCTCGGGGCCGAAATGTGCCCAGAACCCTTCCGTCGTGATCCCAGGCGTCCTACAGGGCTGGACCTAAACGGTGTTTTGGCGATTTCGTGGGCCGTTTTCGTGTCGATTTCGTTTTGCGGTAAAGGCGAATCGAAGACAAAACGAGGGAAAACGAAAACAAACGCAAACGAAACACACCGTTTAGGTTCAGCCCTGCTCCAGGGCGGGAAAAAGACACCCGGACCCGACAACTGGGCGTTTGCTGAACGGCCCTGGGCGTTTACGAAACAGCCCTGCCCTGTTCGATTCCTTCGGTGGGTGCGTTTGCTAAACGGCTTCGCGTGTCGGGGTGACAATTATGGGGGGGGGGTGGATTGTTTACCTTCGAATCACGCCAACGGCGCCGATGCATCGCCGATGTCACTGGTGTATCGCCAATGCATCGCCATTACATCGGCGATAGATCGGTGATGCAGCGCGATCCTCAGACCCCATCTACTCCGACCCCATCTAGGAGGCCTCTACAGCTCCCGACAGCTTCCCTGGGGGTAATTTTGCGCCCGGGATCCGTTTTTGACCATCCAGGGGCTCGACGACCAGCTCCCCAGGCCGAAATAGAGCAAAAACGCCTAGATTAAAAAAACACATCGTCGGTTTGGCGTCGCGTAACGGGGAGGCAAAAATAATGGGGGGGGGGGGGGGGGCAGCGAACGCTGTGGAAAAGGAGCCCCGTAGGGTCCAAGAGGGGGCCTTGAGGGTCAGAGAATTGTACCTTTCTTCCCCCCATCCATCGTCCCCTCACTAAGCGACGCCCAAGTCGGAAGTCTGGGTCTCTGTCCCCGTCGAGTAGAGGTCGGAGATCGCCGAAGGACCCTCGGCGTCCTGGCGGCACCCGCGGGCCCCCTTCTGTTCGGGTGTTTCGACTGCGAGAGGCGATGCGGTCGGACCGAGGTAGATCGGGGAAGGTACCAAGTTTTCTTTGTGTTTTTGTAGAAGTTTCTTGCGCATCCTGGGGAAGTGTTCTCCTGAATGTTCTTCAGTTTGGCCGGCGGAGGGGTTCATGTTCCTGAAGGATGTTCTTCCTTCCCAGGCCCGACCGCACGCGAGGGGCATCGAAGGTCGCAGGAAGCGGCAGCGAAAGGGGCGCTGGAGGAGCCCCTTGGGGCCCCGAAGGTGCACGAGAGGTGCACTCGCGTCCCCTCCCCCCCCCCCCCCTCTTGACAACACACAGGCACAATGTCACCGTCGGCTCCCAGGGAAACATGGGGAAATGTGGGAAGTGGGGGGGAAGGCGGAAGCCCAGAAGACATGGGAGGTTATTGGGACATTCTGGGATGATGTGAGTCCCTGGGCCCCTTTCTTGTTTCGCCCCCCCCCCCCCCCATCCAGCGGCGCTCTGTTTGGGCGCAGGTCGCGGACCTCCAGCAGCGCCGCGGGCTCCTGCAGGACGCGGTGGACCAGCACGGGATGTGGCTGCGGCGGTCGGGGACGCCGACAACGGGGGTTGCACGAGGGAGGGAGCGAGGGGAGAGGAGAGGCGACGCCGCCATCACCACCAGTGGGGGCCACCTCAAGCGCGAGGCTCCTCGATGCCTCCCCGAGCCTGGGATGGGGGATGTGTCGGTGGCACATCGTCGGAGCCTCGTGTACCCTCGCAAGTCCGTCTCTAGAGTACACTGGCGTCGATCAGCGTCTGGAGATCGATGAGATGGCGCCGGTCTAGCGTCGACTAGCGTCGTTCAGCGCTGATTCACCGTCGGCGAGCGTCCATTGGCGCTGATTCGCAGGAGCCAACAAGACGGTATGGGAGGCTTCCACGAGTTGCCGCAGAAGGACGTCTCGAGCGAGAGGGGGGCCCACGCAATCCGAAGGACCCTCCCCGGCGCCTCGCGCCGCGGGGGTCAGGGGCGCCGCAACTCGGCGGCGCCTATGAGGGGGTGGAGAGCATGAGCATAGAAAGAGGAAGCTAAGCTACATTGTATTTGCGTGTTCGGATTGACATAAGCTCGCAATCCACACACCAACCGGGTCGCCTCGGAGAAGAGTGCGGGGGGGGTTCTCATGAGTTTATCTCGGGGCGTCTCTTGCTGCGGACGAGTGCATAGGCACAGAGCTGAGTCGGATAATAGGAGCGGCCAGAGGTGACTTCAAGGCGCTTGCAATAATCTGGTCGCTTTCGACTCAGTAGGAGACAGAAGCAACGCATATTCGACCCGTGCGATGCTTCCAAATTCACATATGTACTCACAAATAGATGTGTCACTGCTTGTCTTAACCCAGCCGAGCGAAGACGACTCGACGGCTTCCAGAACTATTGTCTCAGACGGATTTGCAGAGTCCCCCCGTTGTACATCAGTCGGGCGTCGAATCGTACAGCTCCGCATGTTTGCCAACAGATGCCCTTGAGCGATAGTCTCGCGCGCAGACAGATGTTGTACATGGGCCATTTGGCCAGAAGACCAGGCGAGGATCCAGCCAGAAGCTCGGCGTCTGAGCCGGGCGGTCTGGCTCTCTCGAGCCTCCTGGGGGAAAGGAGAAAAAGGCCGCCCGAGACAGACTGCGGGGCCTGTGGTGCGCAAGAATTGCGAGAACGCCGCCGACTCCCATGGGCGACTCGCGGACTACTTCCGCCGAGAAGGCGACGCAGCTCCCAGGTGGGAACAGGCGGTCAAGGCGTGGGCGGCGTGATGAGTTCATCCGCTTCCGTGTGCATTCGCACCCAGAGGTCACGCGTTCTGGCCAGTGCAGGTTTTCTGTCCCGGACTCTGGGGAGCGTCAAACAGTTAGGTGCACATTTGGGCCAAAAACTGTACGAGCTTTGGGTTCCCGAGGAGGGAAACAAGGGGGGACAACGACTAAATGTTTCACAGGCCTTCCTCATCCCTGGCAAGCGGGGGTCGGCGGATGTATGTATTTTACCGAATATGATGTTGTTTGTTTGGTTTGTGTTTTCTCTCTCTCTCTCTCTCTCGCTCTTTCTCTCGTTCTCGTTTTCTTTATGTATAGTATCTCTCTCTCTCTCTCCCTCTTCCTATCCATATATATGTGTGTATATATTTATATATATATATATATTACATACCTATATCACATATATATATATGGCATCCTTTCTCCCTCCCTCTTCTTCCTCGTGTCCCTCTTCCCCTCTCCCTCTCCTCTCCCTCCTCATGTCCTCTCCCCCTCCTGTTCCTCCGCCCATCCTCCTCCTCCTCATCCTCCTCCTCCTCCTCCTCCTCCTCCTCCTCCTCCTCCTCCTCCTCTCTCTCTCTCTCTTTCTCTTTTTCTTTCTCTCTCTCTCTCTCTCTCTCTCTCCCTCTTTCTCTTTTTCGCTGCCCTTGCCTCGCCAGCTCGTGCCCCAGAGGCCGCCGATATTTCAGAACAAGAGAAGCGATGGGGGAACAAATGTGAGAGGACACCAACGACGCCTTAAGCCCCTCCTATCTCAGAGGCGACGATTGGGGCGAACAGCCCAGGGGAGAGCAACACATGTATCCAGGGGCGCCGATGATCTATGCCTTCGACTAGGCTCCCGGGCGAATGCGTGTAATGCCCGCCCCTGGGCTATTCGCCCTTGTCGTCGCCGCCGGCCGTCGTCCTCCTTGGAAGTTTCCGCTGTCTCGCACTCGAAGTTTCCTCCGTTCCCCCTCTTGCCTCCTTCATTTTTTTCCTGCTGATTGCGCCTGCCTGCGTCTTATCGCGGTTTTCGGCGTCGGCCGACCCAGAGCTCCACGAGAGCTTCGGAGCCGCGAAACGGTTGCGTCGCCGGGAGTGCCGCGGGGGGGGGGGGGCGGCAGACAGCGGGCGGGGGAGGGCGCCCTGCAAGTGCTGCAGGGGCGCCCGACTGCGCGGGCGGGCGACGCGGAAGGGACTGGCCGTCCCGTGGTCCCCTGGTTCTCCCCGTTCTGACACTGGGGGAACCAGAATGCATTCTTTTTGAAGCGGTTGCCGAGTATCCTTCCTCAGCTTCTGAATTCCGCAAGTTGGACGGCATGCGATGTATGAAGCCCTACGATGCGTTCATCACCTGCATCTGAGGGCAAGCCCAAATGCATCGAGACATGCTGACACTGGATTTGATTATATGTCTTAGGCGGTGCGAAATTGCAAATAATTTGAAACATCGCAATCCACCAGATTTTTGCAATTTGTTTGGAGGGACGTTGTTATCACTCCCTGGTGGAAGCCTGGACCGTGTATGTGCACCTATAAATTATTCTCTAAAGTTTTAATTCACAGGCAAGAATTTCTCCACGCCGACGTCGCCGATGTATCGCCGACGTCATCGATGCATCGCCGATTTGTGGGTGATGCATCGACGACGCGGCGCGATCCTCCAACCCAGTCCGACGTGACCCCTCTGGGAAGCCTCTAGCTATCCCCTCGTGTCTTCTGGTCTGCCCCGGGATGCGGGCACCAGCTGCGCACGTACCCCCGGGCCGGTGCGCCCCCGAGGCAGATGCCGCTGCAGTTCACCGTGGGCCACTACAACATCCTAGCAGGCGTGTCTCCCCCCCCCCTCCGAGGGCGCCAGCCATCGCATCCTTACCTCCCCATACCCCTTCGCGAAGTGAAAAATCACGACGGGTTGTTTTTTTCTCCGTTTTCGGCCTCGGGGGGCCTTCGCCAGACCGCTGGGCCGTCAAAACAGGACTCGGGACGAACAGCCGGTTCTAGGGAGGGGGTCGAGATTTTTGGGGGTCCACGCCATCATGAAAAAATGGAGTCGGGGGGCGCCAACCATCTCCGAAGAACAAACTGCAAAAACCTTTGCTGGTCATCGCTGAAGCGGTTGAGCTCTGTGTGTATATTCGCACCTGCGAGCCAAAGTGTCTCGGTCGGGGTTCCGCTACCCCCACTCTTCGTGCATTATTCCGTATGCATCAATGGCGCGATGGCTCATGTTCTGCCGTTCTTCCGTGGTCGGCTCAGTATTATGGTATTCGTCATCGAACGGGGCCAGGACGAGGATCAATCCGTTCCAGAGCGTTCCTGGACGCTCTCAGAGCGTTCCGGGACGCTCTGAGAAGGCCGCGGCGCCCGATATATCATCCAGGTCGCCTTGTCTCAGAGATTCTAGAATTTTCTTCACTCGAATCGATGTTCGTCTTGGTTTCGTTACAGCGAGGCTTATTTCCAGCAGCCCTCACAACTGGGCCTCAGTACGGTAGGTTCGTGTCGTGTCGACCAGCGGCGACCCCGCCAGCGGCGTTCATCTTTGAACGCCTCGGGCGACCCAGGATCGTTCGATGTGAAACGATTTGGACCTTTCGGCAACGGCCGATCTTTCAAGGTTGAAGGATCCCCACGGCGTCAGAAGCCAATGCCGAAGTCGGCACGACACGAACCTGACGGAGGAGTTCGATCCACCGAAGACAGGAGGCAAGCAGTCTACGAGGTGGGCCTGCACTGGATCACTGAGTGCCCCATGGAAGCGCGACCCACAGAACGCCGCCGACTGCAAGCACAGCAAAGCCCCAAAGGGAAAACAACAGCCATCAGCTTCGAAGCCTGGTGCGCATGGAGGAGGAGGAGGAGGAGGAGGTGGTGGAGGAGGAGGAGCGCATGGAGTCTGGGAGCAGCTCATTCTCGGCGGCGAGCTGGGGGGGGGAAAGTCAAGGGGCCTTCTCAAAAGGCGGCGAGGCTTCTCAGGAGCGCTCCTTTTGCGAGGTTTCCTGTGTCTTCGGGGGAGGCTAACTTCTCAGACGGCTGGGGAACTTCCGAGCCTTCTGAGAAGGCCCGCCCGTTCTTACTTCCACCTTGTGTTCGCCGCCAAGTTTCAGCAACGGCGACATCCTCGACTGTTTCCCCCCCGCAGGTCACCCCCCTCCCGGCTCTCGAGGCGTTGCACGGGAACGCGATGAGAATTCTGCATTGGAGCTTTCGTTGCAGCCATTGTTGTTGCTGGCCACGGCGCTCAAGCGGGCCCCGCAGGAACGTACAAGTATTTTCTGCCTCTACTGGCAAGCACCTCCGCATTTTCGAACGAGCCGGGGGGAAGGGGGGGGTAAAACAGCCTCCCACTCCGAGCCAGGGGCGGGGGGAGAGGCTCGCCCCCCCCGTTCGGACCGGGGGGGGATTACATTCTTGCTGGATCCAGTCCGAGTAGGACTGCATGCGAAATGGCTGGACCTAGCTTTTGTAGGACTATATGGAAGCTGGATCGTGTTCTAGTAGGGGTGCTTTAAGGCTTGATCGCGTCTTGCTTGGTTCCTAGCAGAGCTGCATGCAGACCACTGTAGGATCCTATCAGAGTTGGGCCGAGCACGAGTAGGATCCTATCAGAGCTGGGTCCGGCCCATAGTACGGTTCTATTCAAGTTGGATCGGCCCCTAGTCGCATTCTATGAGAGCTGGATCCAGCTTTGAGTAGCAGGATCCGATCAGAGCTGGATCGAGACTGTCTGATCCCATCCGAGCTGGATATCCAGCCGTAGCACTCCTCCAGAGCTGGGCCTCGCTTTTTTGTGGACCCCTGCTAAATCTTGACCGATCCCTAGTCGGATTTCCCGAGAGATTGATCGGCAACACCCCAACATACTTATACTATATGTGCGTCGCCCCCCCAGGGGCGACGCGCGCACCGAGAAACCTTATAGTATATGCGTCGTGGCGGGCGCATTCTGGCCACACCGCTCGGGAAACGATATACTACAAGATGGGTAAACTGTATGTTCGGGTCGGACGCGCGCCTCCAAGGCGGACATATAGTATTAGTATGTCTTTGTGCGTCCCAATTGATCCGGCCCTTGTGGCACGACTCGATGAGAGCCTGTTCGGTCCGCCCCCGCTGTCCATCCCCTGGCTCGAGAGAGGGGGGGCAGGGGCTCTGCCCCCTCCCCCAGCCGCCTCCCGCCCAGTTTCCATGGAGGGACCTCCTCCATCCTCCTCCTCCTCCTCCATCCTCCTCCTCCTCCTCCTCCTCCTCCTCCTCCTCCTCCATCCTCCATCCTCCTCCTCCTCCTCCTCCTCCTCCTCCTCCTCCTCCTCCCTCCTCCTCCTCCTCCTCCTCCATCCTCCTCCTCTCTCCTCCTCCTCCTCCTCCTCCTCCTCCTCCTCCTCCTCCTCCTCCTCCTCTCGCATCCTCGTTCACCGCCCTGTTCCCTTCGCCCATGTTCATCCCCCTCCTCCTCCATCCTCCTCCCTCCCCCCCTCCCCCTGCACCCTCCTCCGTCTCCCCTTCCCCCCCCCCTCCCCCCAGGCTATATGGGCGCGAACATGGAGCCCTGGTTCCTCTACGGCCCTGATCTCCGCCCCAGCCGCCGGAGGAAGGCGCCCCCCCCCCCCCCCGGTCCCCCGCCCCGCCGCCCCTGTTCCCCATCGCCCCCCTCCTGCTCCCCTCTCCTCATCCTCATCCTCCGCCTCCTCCTCCTCCTCCTCCTTCTCCTCCTTCGCCTCCTCCTCCTCCCCCCCTCCTGCTCCCCCCTCCCCCCTTTTTCCTTTTTCGAGAAGGCCCCCGTCGGGGGGGGGGGCCTTGATCTTTCTCGTTTCGGAGGCCAGGCCAGGCGGTGGCGTAGGTGGTGGATCCTCGCGAGGTCCTTTGTGCCACCCGCCAGGCCCCGCTGGCAGAAAGGAGCACGCCGAGCCGCGTTCGACACAAAGACTTCGACGTCGACGACGGACGTCGCTCGCAGGAGAGGTCCCTGGAACTGTCAAGCCTCCAAAGACTCCCATGGTTCCAGAGGGCCGAGAACGTCCAAACACCCTCGAATCTCGAAATTCCCTGACTCTTCGGAGTCCTCAGACCTCGAGCGATGACGACGCAAGTTGTTCGCATACCTCCAGGGTTCTACGTCGAGCGGGCCCTGGCCTCGTTTTACATCGTACCTAACATCGAGCGATGACGAAGACGGACGTTGGTCGGATGCCTCCCGAGGCCTGTCTCGGGTTGGCTCTGGCCTCGACTTACCTAACTTTGAACCCTCGAACGATGACAACGACGGGCGTTGGTCGGATGCCTCCCGAGGCCTGTGTCTGCCTGGCTCTGGCCTAGCCTCACCTGACCTCGAGGGATGACGACGACGGCCCTTGGTCGGATGCTTCCTGACAGGCATATGTCGGGCTGGCATTGGCCTATCTTTACCTGGCCCCGAGAGGTCGACGAACGTTGTTCGGACGCCTCCAGGGGCCTGTGTCGGGCTGGTGCTGACCTCGCCCTGACCTCGAACGATGACGACGGACGTTGGTCGGATGCCTCCCAAGGCCTGTGTCGGGCTGGTTCTGGCCTCGCCCCACCGAACCTCGAGCGATGACGACGACGGGCGTTGCTCGGATGCCTCCCCAGGCCTGTGAGGATCGAATGCCTCGAGAGGTCCGTGAAGATACGGACGCCTCTGGAGGTCCTGCTCGGGGGCCCCCCCGGAGGCAACTCCCGGGGCCTCCGGGGGCCCCGCGGAGGCCGGCGGCGGCCCGATGACGACCCGAAGCGCCCAGAAGCCGCGATCCTCGATCGTCGACGTCCTTGATCTTCGATCCTGGAGCTCAGGAGGGGGAAAAAAGCACAGACATAATGAATCGTCGATTCCCCAGAAAGTGTAGGAAAATATGGGGAGTGGGGGGGAGACAAAGACCCCCAAAATATGGAACATATGGGGAGTCCTGTTATCTGTGTCTCTATTTATTTGTGTCCCAGGGCCCCAAACGTTCGAGGTGTTCGGACGTTTTGTATCGGCGATCGATGGTGTTCCAGCCTCGGGATGCTCTCCAGCGGCTGCTCCTCGCCGATGGCGGTGGAGGGGTGCTCGGAGCGTCCCGAGCGGCCGCCGGGGGCCCGAGCTTGGCCCGAAGCCCAGGTCTCCGACGATCTGATTTTCCCAATCTGGGCGTTGGCCACGTATCACCCCGACAACCGCGTGAGAGAAAACAACTCTCCACTTGCATCCTGGGAATCAACATGGAACCATACAGTGTGAAACGACACAAGGCTGACACGATGGCTCAAGAACAAGCGGCGCGGCTACCATATAACGAAAGCCTCTCCAGACCTGCGAGCCGCTGCCCCTGACCCAGGCCGGAGGGAAAAGCGGGGGGGGGAAAACAAGCGGAGGAAAAAGTGGGCGTTGTTCCTTGATTTCGGCCTCCGGGGCCCGTTCTCATCGCGCTCCAGGAGCACCAAAAAGTGGGCCCAGGGCGCGAAGCTGCCCCTGGGGAAGGGGTCGGGAGCTCGGGGGCAACGAATAGGGGGGGGGGATGGGCAAGAAGCGGTGATGCAGCGACCCCCGATCGTCCACTCATCGCCAACAGGTGCCGGACAGGCCCAACTCGCCCAGGAACGTGCGGGCTAGCAATCGGAGGCCCATCGCCGACCTATCGGCGATGTATCGCCGATCTCAGGTCGATGTTTCCCCCCGTCGTCGCCCCGCAGGATCCCTGGTGCCGTGGATCGGCAAAAACTGAGCAGAGGATGCCTGGGGAACGCCGACGACGGCTACCGACGGCCAAGGGAAGGACTACGGCAGGACCGAGGTATACGATCGAGGTCGGCTCGGGGAGGGTGCCCTACTGCTCTTCGTGTCTGTTGGATGTTTTTGTGCATCCTGGGGGAGGGTACCCGGGAATGGTCTTCGGTTTGGCTAGCGGAGGTTTTTGTGTTCTTGAGGGGTGTTTTTCTGTCCTAGGTCGGCCTCTGATTGGTGACGACGTCGGCGACGCCGACGCCTGAAACGACAAACGGACGTCGTTCAGAGGAGGGGTCTCCAGAGTTCTCCCTGATGCTTCTGAAGACCCCCCAAGGTCCCGAGAGTGGTCGCGAATGCTCAAAGCTTTGATCGAAGATCGAGCATCGAGAATTTGGTTGGACTCTGAAGCCTAAGCTTGAGGTTCGAGCTCAAACCTCACAGTCCTCGATCCTCGAACCTTTAAGAACGACGCCTGCAACCGACAACGCAGACGCCCAGGCCCACGACGACGACGCATACACAGCGCCGACGCCGACGAGCGCGGACGCCGAAGGTGCCGACGACTACGATGCCGACAACGATGCCGACGCCGCCGCCGCCGGCGACGATGCCGAGGACGACGACGATGTCGACGGCGACGGCGGCGGCGCCGGCGGCGACGATGCCGACGACGATGACGATGCCGACGACGGCGACGACGCCACCGGCGACGCCGCCGCCGGCGACGACGCCGACGACGCCGGCGACGCCGACGCCGACGACGACGGCGACGCCGACGCCGACGAAGGCGGCGACGCCGACGACGACGAGGGCCGACGCCGGCGGCCCCCGAGCGAGGTGCTCGAGCAGCACGCCGCCGTGGGCAGGGACGGCCGCCCGGCGCACCCGGGCTGGCCGAACTACGCCCGGGGGGTGCTGACCGACGAGGACCGCCGCGCTGAACGCCCACGAAGAGCGGCAGAGCCCTGACTCTCGGAGGAGTACCCATGAGCCACTACCCTCGCCCCGTTTTCACCTTTTTGGGCCTCCTCGGACGCCCTCGTCGCCACTGCTGGATTCGCTTCGAGGTTCTGGTCAGAGCGCACCCCGGCAGAGATCCGGTGAGTAGCGGCACCGGTAACCACCTCTGGGTTTCCCCAGGTCGCTTGGCGAGTCCCCCCATAGGCACACAATGGGCAAAGCCCTCCCGTCGCGGCTTTGTTCATTGCGCGAGGGGGTCCAGTCTGAAGATGGAGGGCGAGGAGAAGGACGCACGCACGCAGGGGCGGTGGGCTGGGAGCTGACCCAGGTTGGGTTTCACCTTCTCGCTGAGGATCGGCAAGCTGAGGTTCTGGTCCGGGGGTGGTCAGGGGCAGCTCCTGATTCGTGCCTCGGGGGTCCAACCCGGAGTTGCCCCGGTTCGGAGTTATCCGGGATAATTCATCGCCCTGTAGGGGGACAGGCCCGACTTAACCCCAGACCCGAGTTATCCCAGAGAGTCGGGGCGTTCAAGAGCGGAGAGGAGGGGCCTCTCCGACGTTGCATCAGCGGTCGTCTCGTGGCGACCGCGGAGGTAGGGCTCGGAGGAAGCAAAGGTACCCACCATACCGCTGCCCTTCCCTCGTTTCCCCTGTTTGGGCCTCCTGGGAGGCCCTCGTCGCCACCGCTGGATTCGCCTCGAGGGCTTGGTCAGAACGCACCCAGGAGAGGTCCAGGGAGTAGCAGTATCGGTACCTTTTGGTTTCCCCAAGGGCGGACAGTTCTGCTCTGCGTTTCGAGCTCCTTCAAAATGCCGCTCTCCGCCATGCTCTGTCATGGCTGTGTTCGCCACGCCATTTAGCAGAAATATATAACCGCCATTTGTTTCCGAGACGTCTTTTGGTTGTTTGTTTGTCGTGTCGCATTGTATGGGGTGAATGTCCAACACGATTGTAAGTAGGAGAATCAGCCAAAGTACGGCGAATCCGAAGTCAGTGAGGATGGGTCAGGGGCAACGTCAGCACAGACGTGCAACATCTTGAAAACATCACGATGGAGGCATTGTCAATTCTCGTCCTCTGGGGGCCCCACCAGGCCCCAGGAGCGTTAAAAAACGGTTCGGGGTGAAATCCAGCCCTGGGGACCGCGCACTGGGTTTGGAGGATCGAATTGGATGAACACCGACAGCCGTCCCTGTCCATTCTGAACATGGCTCGCTGTCGGCGTCGCCGCGGGCGTTGTCCATTTGAGACAGTCTAGGCCTCCTAGATGGGGTCCGAGTAGATGGGGTCGGAGGATCGCGTCGCATCGCCGATGCATCGGCGATGCGGCTTGATGCGGGGGCCCGATTTTCTCCCCGCCAGCGTCGCCGATGCACCGCCGACGTCGACGATGCATCGCCTGTGCATCGCCGATGCATCTCCGCTGCATCGTCGAGGCATCCCCGATGTATCGGCGATGCGCTGCGATCCTCCAACACTATCTACTCCGACCCCATATA